TTTTTTTTTAATCACGCGAAACACAGTTTACAATTAATTACATTTTTTATAACATAATATAAATTATACTTTTATTGGAAGTTAATATTTAATTTTCATATGTTATTTAATATAAGAAAAGTGAATAATTACTTAACAACGTGTACTTCTTGAATCTCATACCTTTCCGCTTGATGTGATATCTGCGTTGCAGCTTCTCGTCTTTTTTCCCTTAAATTCTGCAGTCTGTTTTGTATATTTCTTTTCCTTTTTGTGTCATTGTCATCTACACTGTTATTAAAAAAATTTCGGGATAAATATTAAAATTAGAAAGAAGACCGTTTATTTAAGTAAATCGTTTAAGTACGAAGTAACACCATTTATGATCAAAATTAAATATTAAACTAAAATACATAAAAGAAGGGTCCCGTTTGTTTACAAAACGATTATTTATAGCTTCACATATACATGTATGTATTTTAAATAATAAAAAGTTACATTTTTCTCAAGAAGTTCTTTACAGATTTTAAAATGCTAGTAGCATGAAATTAAAGTTTCTAATTAAATTTGGGGGGTTATTATAATATTTTACATTATGTGTTGAAAGACCGAAAATAATTGTCGTGCAGTCATTTCTAAGGTGATTTCATTAAAGTAACTACGTATGCATGTGTCTAATTTTGATCGTAATTGGCGCTTCTTCATATTTAATTGCTTTGTGATTATATTACTATTTGTAAAATGTCTATCATAAGATGTATTTTTGTGGAACAAAACCGAAATCAGACCAACAATCGTCATTACTTTCGGATTATTATGAAGTTATAGAAATAAAACAAGTGAAGCGTAATTAACTTTTGCCCGTTTTGATATGTCTAAAAAATATCTGTTTCATACTTGTGAAGCTTCCAATGTTTGTTCATATCATCCAATGTGTCGACTGACAATTGAGTGTCTTCTTCCAAATTTTTTGAATATTGACAATCAGGGCAAGTTGCTAGGTTTCCATCCGTTATTTTGTATTTTTTAAGTATCGTTTGTATAGTTTTATCATTTTTTACTTCATTGTATATCTTATTTTTCGGCCCGTGGTGTATTTCCCAATGGTTTCGTATGCGGTATATCTTATTTTTAATTAATTTAAACGATGATTGACAATTCTTTATTTTACAATGTACTTTAGAATCTTTTTGATTTAATACCATAGTGTATCGCTGTAGTAATGTATTAAGCTCTTCTGAAACAGCTCCCATTTCTATAGTATTTAAATACTCTTCCATTACGAGATCTTGATCAATCTTTTGTTTTTTTTTGTTCATTTCTTGTTGCATTTTTTCTTCTTCTTCTAGCTCAATTTGTATGGATGCTTCATCTAGGACTGGTATTTCA